CGACAAGCACACATCCTTGATTGGTAGAGCACTGGCAATTAACAACGCAGTCCTAGCGGTCCTTTGGTATAGATCGACCCTTTTGGCTCTCAGTAAAGACGCGGTTAGATCACTCAAGAGGCAAAGCGTCGCCCTGCTGTGGAGAGGCAACAACGAACTTCCAAACGTCTTAAGTAGAGTGGCTTGGTCTTCGGTGATCCAGCCCAAGGACAAAGGATGGTTGGGCATCCTGGACTCAGTCATCTAGGTAGCCGTTTTGATGGTGCAATGGATCAGAAGACTCGTATTTACGTCGGACCTTCCCTGGTACTCCCTCGCACTTGAACAGATTGCTCGATTGGCACCACAAGCACCACGAGGTCTGGATTCCCTAACCTGGCTCGAGGACCGATATTGGTCCATACCACGGCGCCCTCGGGTCAACAGAGACTCCTCCCGAGGAGCGGCAAGGAGCAACCTGGCCAAAGATGATTTTTGGCCCCGAGTGCTGAAGGCCTGGCGCCAACTGCCATTGCCGAAAAAAAACACGCCGAACAGATGGGAAGAAGTGATGAGGCAACCCCTCTTTGGCAACAGAAATATCACTGATAGAAATGGTAGGGTACACCGCAGTTCAGACCCCCCATGGAGCAGTTGGGTCAGAAACGGTATAGTAAGGATCAAAGACATATGGGACCCGGCGAGCAGAGATTGGAAGACCGCGCCACAGTTGAGAGGTCAGACGAGGTACTGTCATGACATCGAAAAGAACCTAGAAACTCTGATCTTTGACATCCCTCTTGACTGGGTACGCACTCTTCGAAAAGGACCGCGGCTAATGAAAGGAGACTGGGTCGCAGCCCCGGATGACACACAAAGTGTCAGCAAGGTGGTGGGTGTGCGGGCAGACGAATCCCAAGTCAAACTCTTCCATAATGGAAAAGACAACATTCTCACCTCGCACTCCCCGGACACAGTAAGGTGGTGGAAGAACGAAGAGTTGCACAGAATTCGGGTACTGGGACACAAAGACGAATGGATTGCATATCGCCCCGATTCCCCCCTAGCTGAACTTTCCTTCGATCCGACGGAGTGGCACTGGACGCCCACACACAGAACACAAGCCAATCCGACCATCAGCCTCCTTGGTCTGTCCGTGAAGGCCACCTACCGGCTGCTGAGGCCAAAAGGGAATCTAAAAGAGGTAGTAAAAGCCCACTGGATAGCCCACCTGAATTTAAGTCAGGGGACCGTCCGCCCGATTCGGTGGTTCTCAACCATGAGATCCAAACCAGCCAAATTTGCGTCGTTGCAGTGGCAGATAGAGCACCGCTGCCTTCCGACAAATAACTGGCTGATAGATCGAACGTTCCTGGAGCAAAAGGGTCTGGCGCTCCCCTGGTGCAAATCTTGCCAAAATGCCTTCCCCTCCCGAAAGATCCCGGAAACTATTGAACACATCTTCCTACAATGCCCGGGGGCGGTCCTCACCTGGCGCTGGTGGGATAGGATATGGAGCCTCCTGGGCACTGGATCGAACTGGCCGTGGGATTGGAGGGCACTGCTCTGTGAAGCATGGACCTCCCCCACGGACAGCGAGTTTGAAAATAATATGTTTAAGATAAGGAGGAGAGCGGTTATTTGGGCACTTTGGAGGAAGCGCTGCACCTACACCATCGAGGGGGTCCGAATGGAAGGAGAGGAAGTAACGGAAATAATTAAACAGTATATACAACAAGAACTCCTCTCACGATGGCAGAAGGTAAAGAACCAATTAAAGTATCACTAAAGAAAGACATCATACAAGCAATTAACCATTTCTCAGGGGACTGGCTGGGCAGCGAAAATGGGGGCTGGATTGCCTACATCCGATGGGAGGGCGGACAGTCTCCCGGACAGGAACAGGCGGACTTCAAGAGGGACTACTGCATCTCCTTCAAAGAATGGGCTAAAGTGGACCAAGGCGTGCCGCTGCGCTCACGCGCAGATTTCCTGAACCCCTTCCCCCCCCATCAGCTTTCCTTGGTAGACATGCAATGGTACGGTGCAGAATAGGCGGAAGAGCCGTTGGAGGTGCATCTTCTTCAAGGAAAGGAAGGACCTTTGGAGGGGTTAGGGGTTAGAGTGGAAACAGGAGCTCAATGGCTGCTCTGGAGACACATGCAGTAACTGACAGCCTCTAGCTGAGAGGAGCAACCAGGGGCAGAATAGGTACACAACAACCACATAAAAGCTTCGCCACAACAGACTAACTTAGGCATGGGTGAGGGGTGGTACATCCTTCTCGAAGGAAGCAATCAATGCCACCCACTCGGGCCTCTCAACCTTAATGGGGAGGAGCGTGGTGTGAGTCAACCTTGTACTACTCATTGACTTGCCGAGGGAATAGGAACCGGACTGTTGCTCCCCAGAAGGGCAGGAGCCAGAACCAAGAGGTTCTGGAAAAAAAAAAAAAAAAAAAAAAAAATTAGAGGGAAGGTGCTGCCGGATTTGCCGCGCGGCGCCGACATTTTTTTTTTTTTTTTAATGTGTGTGGGGTCATGCTGTTTGATTAGCGGCGCGGCAACGACAGTGTATCCGGTGGGGTCATGCTGCTGAAATAGACGGGGACGTCGATATTTTTTCTATGTGGAGGGAAGTGTTGTTCGTTTGGCGCCACGTCGGCGGCACTATTGTTACGGAAAATGTTGCGGATGTTTTGCATCAAAAAAAAAAAAAAAAAATCTCTCTCTCTCTCTCTCTCTCTCTCTCTCTCTCTCTCTCTCTCTCTCTCTCTCTCTCTCTCTCTCTCTCTCTCTCTCTCTCTCTCTCTCTCCTTTCGGCATTTTTCAGCAATAGGGCATTCTTCATCACTTGTGCCATATTCAGATGTAACGACACCAACGCAGGACTTCAAAAATTGATGCCGGCTTCCACTTTCGGGCCGCCTAAATGCAGAAACCCCATTCAAACGGGCAGAAGAACAAATAGGGAAGAAAAAAACGACAATCGCAGAAGCCGAATTCCGGCCCCTACTGGATCCTGCTCGCAGGCCTACAAAAACGGGCCCCTGTTTTTCGTGGGCGGCCCAAGGCACGAGAAAATGCCCCTGGCTGCAAAAAAAAAAAATTGGTAATTGCCCAAAACGTCTGGAATCTGGACCGGAATCCGAACGGTCCGGATCCCTGTCCGGAGGTCCAATTGCTGCCATGCAATAAACGGTTGAGCCAGAATCAACATCCAAAGTTCCGTCTTACTGTCAGCACAACAAGAGATCCACCATAGCCATGACCTCCCTCTTCTTCTTCTTCACACAGGCCTAGGCTATGGCGGACTACTAAGAGCCTTGCCCTGACGTGCAAAACAACACAAAGCAGCTATTGCCGCTGCTCTTCAGCCTATGTCTAACTCTGCCTTGAAGCCTTCTTGGTGCAGCACTACCCCAATTGGGGCATACCAGATGCGGTGCCTAGCAAGGTGATGAAGATGGTATCCACCATAGCCAATCAGTACCTCGCCACTCTCCTCTTATGCCCCCTTCTTCCTCCTCCTCAAGCTGGGCTGCTCGCCATAGCCCGGCAAAGCGCCCAGCTCTCCTTCTTCCTCCCCGGCAGCACTCTGAGATTCAGCACCCGCTCAAGCAGCATGATGCCCAAATTTGCACACCGCAAATGAGGAGCAAGTCGATCCGCCAGGAGATATTGCGGGCAAACAGCCTCACGGCCGGTTGCTGGAATGTGCCTCACGGCCTCGAGCATCCACACGCGGCCTCCAAGCTACCGGTACCTCCTCCCTTTCGGAGGGAAACATCATTGCAGGCTTTGATATTGTCCGCAAAGGGCCCAGACTCAGGCTACTTGGGCTGCCGCCAAGACCTAGGCGTACCGCTACTAGGGCTCTAAAGTACTAATTGTTTGTCTTGTTCTGCTAGGCCTACCGCTACTTAAACCACCAGTACCTACCGGTTGTCAAGGCCCGACCCTAAAGCTACCCGTAGGCCAAACCACGTCAGGGGAACGTAGGATTTGAACATGCGATGTTATTAGCCTTATGAAGTTGTTGGGCCTTGTCTTGGGATTTACGGTAGTCTCTCACGTGTGAGGTTTTTTGGAGAGTTTTTGGGACAGTTGACTGAAGACTGGAACTTTCAATAAACATCGGTTTCAAGATAAGTACTGGGTTTTGAGCCGGTGACCTCTAAGATGTGAGGTTCTTTGTAGTATGCTTTAGGATAGTAGTCTGCAGACTGTGGAACTTTCGGTAACGCTGGTTTTGAGATAGTACCGGGTTTGTCTTGGGTCTGACGATACTATGAACTTCGCTTAGGATACGTCGTCTTCTGCTGAATCTGTTCAGAATTTTAGCTTAGGTTAGTTTTCCTAGATACTTTTTCTTCTTTTCTTCTTTCTTCCTTTTTTCCTTTTTCTTCTCTGCTTTTGTCACCTTCTTAGGATATATAAGTTGACGACGCACTACCTATTCACTAATGACCCCTGATGAGAGCTGGTCACGGCGGCCAACCGAAACCGGTCGGTTCATTCGCCGTATGGTTCCATGATGTTTTCACTCCAATTTTTTTTACGGAACAGTCGCGTTCGGGAGTTCCTTATTATCCTGGGTATTGTCTTTCTTCTTTTGCTTCTTCTTCTTCTTCTTCTTCCTCCTCCTCCTCTTCTCCCTTCTCTTCTTCCTTTTGCTTCTTGTTTGGTGTCATTGTCGTATGTTGACTGCTCAAGCATTTGTGTATGCATTTGACAAACTTTCTTTCACGAAGTAACCGGTGTAGAGATTATACTACGACTGAGTGGCTTCAAGTGCTTTGACCGACTTAGCAGGAAACTACCGTTATGGCTACCAACAATAGCTTCGTTCGTTCTTGCTATAACTGTGGCTAAGCTGGCCATATCCAACGTTTTTGTCCTCATCCTCCTCGTCAGTTCCCTGTGTCCAACCCCAATTCCGCCATTGTTCCCGTCCAGACTCAACCGCTTTTGACGTTGTCGAGTACGAGTAGTGACACGTATTCTAATTCACAGTTCAACCGAGGAGGCTGGACTGGACCGAGTAACACGAAGAGGATCGAGACTTTGGAGGAGACCGTCGCAAAGATAAAGATCCGTCATGACGCCGAAGAAGAACGTGAGAAAAAGAAGAGAAAAGATGAGGAGAAAGAAAGACGGGACAGTGAAGATGAACTAAGAAGACAGAAGGATGAGCCAGATCGTGACGAGCACTACAAGCAGATAGGGGACTTGATTTCCTCTAGACTTGGAGGTGGTGAGGAGATTATGAACCTGAAGAAGAAAGAAGTGTGCGATATGGAAACTTTGAGAGCGAAGGTTGACAATTTGAAGAAGATTAGAAACTTACCTGCTGCGACGGTAAATGAGGTAGAAACCTCTGTTCGGCTACAGCGCGAGTATGGCGAGGCGAAACGTAAAGCACAGGAAGCAAACGAGAGGCGAATTGCGGCACTCGAGGAGCAGTTGCTAAGCTTGAAAAACATCTCAGAGGAGGCAATGAATGAGGCGAAAGGTTGGAAACTGGAAGCGCAACGATCGGGCAACAAACGTGGGAACGTCGCTGTTGGGGTTACACCTAGTCCGCTCCTGTGCTCTCGACCTCGATGTGCTCCTGCTGCGACGCCGCCTAACACGAAGAAGAAGATCGATGATGATTACAGTGAGTTGGTTGCAAGGCATATGGAGGAGGTTAACGTTCTGAAGGAAATGAGGATTCGTGAATTCAATTGGAGGAGAGAGGCCGAGCAAGAAGCCGAGAGAGTGAAAGAAATGAAGGATAAGGAAATTGAGAAGCTGAAGGTAGCTCTGAGCAAGGTTCAGATGAAGTCAACAGGGAAAACGAAAGTTTCACGAATGAAGGAGACACAGTGCAAGTCGACTGCTACTGACTTACGCCAAAGACTGGAGGCTGCGATAGGAGGAGGTGATGGTGGTTTTGGCAACTTTGGAACTGAAGCGGCCGAAAAAGTTGCACATGCCAATGATCGTGAGGGGTTCTTGAGGGAGTGTCGACTGACATGGTGGTCGCCATTTGTGAGAAAGAAGGAGTTACATATACCACATTGGACAAGACGAAGGAAGAGATTGCCCTTTGACGGACACAGAAAGCTTGTGATGAACTGCCACCTGGAACCTCGGGTGGGGCTGCGATTGAAGTCTCCGACAACGTTGAAAAAGCAAGTGAGGATCTCGGTAAGTTTGACGGGGCTGGCGAGAGCACTTAGGGTCAACTCCCGACGCGGCTTACCTTTGGAACGTGGCTAGGCACTGTTCGAATCAGCGAAGTCTGTATGTTCAACGTTTGCTCGGTCGATATTTAAACGGTTTGTTTTGTCTGGCAGTGATTCGGTTAACCCTTTCTGGTGAGATTCCCTGGGACGAGAAATTTGTTGATTGTTTTAACTCTCTTCTTGGTGCTGGTTATGATTTTGAGCGTTGCGATGGTCCTTTGGTCTATGCTCTCATTTCCCCCTGGTGTAGACATGTTTATATAGGGAGTACCGATAAAGATGTGCATACGCATTGAGCATGCTTATCAAGTTTGTAATCCTTCCTTACTACATCGTGGGGATTGTAACGAGAAACTTTATCGCTAGCTAAGACGATGCGGTGTGAACCGTTACATTGCAATTCCGATATATTCGTGTAGATGTCAGGAAGACTTGTTGATTGCCGAGAAGTTTTTTATTCGAACTTGTGTGTCTGCTCTGAATGTTCGCTATAAACCATGCCGATCGAAGAGGACTCGGAAGGGATTACGTGAAAGACTAAGAAAAAAAGGTAAACGTAATTTGAATGGCACCGAGTTACCTTTTGGAAGCTTGAAAGTCCCTTTTGGAATTTACTTCCTCCATAGGAATCACTTCTATTAGCTCGTTGCACATACTCGACTCTTGTATTGGACAGGGTGTTTCCAACTGTGCTATTATATGTAAAGGAGGGGTCCGATTGGCTGATAAGTGGGACATCGTGAAGAGACTGTATGGAGGATCTACAATTTCTTGTTCTTTTGGTGATGGTCAAGTACGACGTTCCCGAAGTTGGTTGGTCAGTGGCGTCACTATTGTTGTCTCCAAAATTGTCCCATTTCTACGACGAGCTGTTTGTCTTAAGGAACCGTTGATTCGACTACTGAGCAATCAGGGTACGAGGAAAGATTTGTACAAATGGGAGTTTGATAAGCTTGTATTGGCCTTCTCGGCTATCAACATTTTTCACGAAAAACGCACCGGGTTTAGACTACGGGGTATTCTCTCTAGGACTATTATCACATGCTATGATGTGCATGCTCGACAGCGGCTTCTTATTCGATTGATATATGATTCAAATTACAATAAGGCACGGATTCGACAGGTGTGTGTAAGAATCATTGGAGGCCTGGGAATCCCAGGCACGTGGAAGGATTTGTTGATTCGGTGGATGAGAATTGTCTGGTGCCGCAATCGCACCGTGGGGGATTGTCTACATAATTTTCGATACTATTCCAAGCAGTCGGAAGCAGTTTGTGGTTGTCATGAGATGAAGACTGGACTTCCTCGAGAAAATGGCCACGTATCTTTTAGAATTAATGACTCGTCTTTATTTCCTGCCTGGCTCTGTAATGCGAAGAATATACTCAAACCCTCTCGTAATAACTGTTGTAAGAATCTACGTAACCAAATTATATCCTCCTTCAGTCTGATGCACTCTCTTCCCTGCCTATCTGATGAGGTGTTGAACCCTGATGAGTTATCTTCTTGGCTCAATTTGTCTTTTCTTCCCTCTTCGGACGATGCCTCTTCCTCAACCCTTGTGCCTGTCTCAGCTGAAAATCGGTTGGTGTTGAAAGAGTGTAGCACTGAGAATTTTGATCAATTAAAGTCTACCTTTGATGGTTTGGTCTGCGTTCCGATTGACCACAATGTTGGGGACACCTTTGCCTGTTGCCCGACGGTGTACCGTTATGGCATGAGTAAACTTTTTCTGGACAATCCAGCATTCTCTATTTGCAAGGATGAGGAGTCTGAAGTACTATCGAGATGTAAGGCTGGTTACATGGAGCTGGGTCTGAAAAAAGTGGGACTGTGGAAATCTAACGATACTTTGGGACAAGCTTACTGCATCCCGAAGCATAAGGATGTGACCAGATGGCGTTCGATTTGTCCATCTTTTTTCGAGAATGCAACTGCTGGAGGAAAGAAAGGTGTCTAAGGCAGTTAATCAACTACTCTCGCAACTTCCATCCCGTTTCCATTTCAACATGAAAAGAACTATGGACCTGGTAGAAAACATCAAGAGAATCAACAAGAAACTCAAAAAGGATGAATTCTTGGTCGGGGCGTCGTTTGCTGTGAAAAAAATGTTTTCTAATCTCCCACATTCCTCTATTCTTCGCGCTCTGGATTGGGTGACGGACTATTGGTATTGTGAAGGCTTTAGTGCTGTTGCAGTTAGGTCACGTGGGAAGGGTGCTAAGTTGGTTCGTAAATCTGGAGAGGAAGGATGGGCTACGATCACTTTCCAGCAAATTATTCGCTTTGTCTCCTTTGAGTTGAAGAACACTTTCATCAAGGCTACAGGTAGGATTCTGCGACAGATTGTAGGAATCCCGACTCTGGCCTGTTTGTTGTGTGCTTATAACGAATTTTCGTTTTTGTCAACATTAGGGAGTGAACGGAAACTGTTTGAAGGATTCCGCCTCGTTGATGATGTATCAGTTTTTGTCATCTGTCAGAATGGTTCTCGTGAATCTGAAGAAGCGGTTGAACGATTGAAAGAGAAATTTCAAGACTGTTACGACTCCAATCTGATTCTGGAAAGAACAAGTAAGGGATCTCACAAGGAATTTTTAGGATGTATTCTCAATGTGTTGAAAGGCAATGCAGGTCTTGGGTGTGTTGCAACCCATAAGAATCAGATAACTTGGAGCCTTGGAGGAATGAGAGGGTGGTTTTCCAGAGTATTCAACATTTCTCGTCCTTTTCCAGCAAAATGCAAAAAATTCAAAATGGTTGTTATTGGTTCCTTCCTCCATTGAGCACGTACTTTCACTACTCTCCTTGGTACTGAATTAGCTTTTCTCTTCTCTCTGAAAGTTGAGTGTGGAAGAAAGGTTATCCCGTTCACTTCTTTGATAACGCGTTAGTTAGCTTCTCAAGTAAATTTTGCGGGCTTTGGTGCGAATGGCTACCGGTGTTGACAGGATGGTCGTAATGACCATGTCAAGGGAACTTGGTCTGGCTATAGGACCCATTTGTCAATGTATACAAAATTTCAGAAGCTGCAGAGTTGTAGAGTTGGTTGACCCTTTGGGGGTGTCCGGTTTGGAAATTAAATGGTGATTTCGAACTAGGACCTTATTTTTGAGGTAATTAAAATAAAAATATTTTTTGACTTTGAAAGTTTTGGCCTGCGGCTGTGGCCACGTCAGGGGAACGTAGGATTTGAACATGCGATGTTATTAGCCTTATGAAGTCGTTGGGCCTTGTCTTGGGATTTACGGTAGTATTTGACGTGTGAGGTTTTTTGGAGTGCTTTGGGACAGTTGACTGAAGACAGTGGAACTTTCGATAATCATCGGTTTCGAGATAAGTACTGGGTTTTGACCCGGTAACCTCTGAGATGCGAGGTACTTTGTAGTATGTTGTAGGATAGTAGTCTGCAGACTGTGGAACTTTCGGTAATGCTGGTTTTGAGATAGTACCGGGTTTGTCTTGGGTCTGACGATACTATGAACTTCGCTTAGGATGCGTCGTCTTCTGCTGAATCTGTTCAGAATTTTAGCTTAGGTTAGTTTTCCCAGATACTTTTTCTTCTTTTTTTCTTTCTTCCTTTTTTTCTTTTTCTTTTCTGCTTTTGTCACCTTCTTAGGATATATAAGTTGACGACGCACTACCTATTCACTAAAGACCCCTGATGAGAGCTGGTCACGACGGCCAGCCGAAACCGGTCGGGTCATTCGCCGTATGGTTCCGTGACGTTTTCACTCCAAATTGTTTTACGGAACAGTCGTGTTCGGGAGTTCCTTATTATCCTGGGTACTGTCTTTCTTCTTTTGCTTCTTCTTCTTCTTCTTCTTCTTCCTCTTCTCCCTTCTCTTCTTCCTTTTGCTTCTTGTTTGGTGTCATTGTCGTATGTTGACTGCTCAAGCATTTGTGTATGACTTTTGACAAACAAACAAACTAACTAACCTACAGCTACTGTGATGAGCCTCGAAGTACCAGTACTTCGACGACATCAAAATTTGTTTACAATAAATGTTAACAAAATCAAAAGAAAAACAAAGAAAACTTTCAAAAAAAAAAGAAAAAAGGAAGAAGAAAAACGAAATTGGGAAAAAGGGACTGCATCGCCTCGTGAGAGAGAGAGAGAGAGAGGAAAACAACACGTTTGTTGTGCAGAGAATGACGTTGTTCAGTGCGCAGCGGTGCAGCAAACGCGCCGTTCTCAGCTCTCTCTCTCTCTCTCTCTCTCTCTCTCTCTCTCTCTCTCTCTCTCTCTCTCTCTCTCTCTCTCTCTCTCTCTTTGTG